GTTTCTCCTCTTCTTCTTGGTTGTCCCGGCCTCTGTTCCTCTCTCTACCTACTTCTTTCCCCAGCTTCTTCATTGCCCTGTGCCTAATTTCCCACCCTTGAGATGCATTCTCTCTCCCCAGACTCACCCTCTAGGCCCACTTGAACAACTACTTTATCCAGGACATCATTCTCCATGCCTATTAACAAGCCTCCCACTACCTGTAGATATTAATGCCTTAAAGACATTAAATCTATGAATTTTTCCAGCCAGTGACCTTCAGCTTTATCACTGCTCTCTGCTCATCCCCAGGAGCCCCTTCATTCCCTTGTAATCATACACCCCATGTCTCTATTAACTGGCAGGCACTTTGTCCCTAACGTCCCTTAGCTCTTTGCCCCCTGTATGCCCCACCCATACCTCTTTCTGGACATTCGATGAGCTTTTGCTGTTTCCCCTTCTACCTGCTCTGTTTCCCCTGCTCCGTATTTCCTTAGCATCCCATGATCTTCACCACCATCTTGTCCCTGTGTCCCCCTGTTCTCTGAGATCTCTTGCTTACCACTTCTATATCACACCCATGCAATGTCACTGCCCCAAACCTTCTACTTTCCTGCCACAGGTCTTGACCTGAATGGTAAGCCTCCCAGCATTTATGAAGATGACTCACTATAACAATTGTCCTTGCAGGGTTGGGGGGATTACAAAAAATAGGAAGGGCTTCTTTTCTGTGGTCACCCCTTAAGGCTGCTGAGATGATGTTAGTGGCCCTCCGGCAGATCAGATACTTAAAGAAATGGTAGGTCTGGCCCGTTGAAGCATCTGATCCTGCTGCTGTCTTGGTGAAGGAACATTCTGTGTTGTTTAACAAATAGTGTTGTGTTTCTCCCTTCAGTCACTGATGACATCAGGATAGGTATATTTATCCACAAAATTTTGGTCTTAGTTGGCAATAAATTGTGCAAATGAAGAAAGTTAACTGACTTGCATTAGGCAGATGAGTACAGTGACTTCCAAGGTGATCTATCAGCATCATGTTCTTCACTTGCTCTGTGTGTTTTAAAATTTTGTCAAATGCTATGTACCTAGTAATTGTCTAAATGATGGTGCCACTCAGTGAAGCAATGAATAAAACTTAACTATATTTGGAGTAGAAAACGTCACATGGAAGTGAGGAATGCAACGGGATAGGTATAGCTTACTGCCAGTCGCTCTCAAGACAGACCTCAGGATTCCCTGCCATCTCCATGTGACCTCCTATCTGCCCCCAGGGATCAAGGATAAGTAAATGTATACACAATACATATTCACATTTTCTTTATCCATTCATCTTTTGATGGGCACTCGATCTGGTTCCATAACTTGGCTATTGTGAATTGCATTGCTATAAGGATCGATAGGAAAGAATCATTATGGTGTGCTGATTTTAGTTCTTTTGTATAGTCACTGAGGAGTGGAATTGGTGGGTCATATTATTGTTCCCTTCGTAGTCTTTTTTTTTTAAATCACTTTATCATTGCACATATAAACATAAGTCATCTTTCTAAGAGCTTGTTATTAAATTGTCAGTTAAGCAGTATGTTTCAGAAGAGTGATTTTTTTTTTAAAAACACGAAGAGTGACTTATACTTTGTTTTTTTTTTAAAGAGAGAGTGAGAGACACAGAGAGAGAGAGTGAGAGAGAATTTTTTTAATATTTATTTTTTAGTTCTCGGCGGGCACAACATCTTTGTATGTGGTGCTGAGGATCGAACTTGGGCCACACGCATGCCAGGCGAGCGCGCTACCGCTTGAGCCACATCCCCAGCCCCCCTTCGTAGTCTTCCAAGGAATCTTCAAAACTGATTTCCAAAGTGGTCATTCTAACTTGTAGTCCCATGAAAAATACACATGTACCTTTTTCTAACACCTTTGTCTGCATTTATCATTAATTGCAATCTTACTGATTGCCATCCTAACTGGAGTGAGGATAAGGCTTCAATGTAGTTTTTACATTTTCTTGTTTCTTCTTTTGAGAAATGTCTATTTGGTTCTTGTGCACATTTATTGTTTGGGTTATTCATTCTTTATCTTTTTGGTGTGAAGCTTTTTGAGTTTTCAAAACACTATGGATATTAATCTCTTCTGTTTGAGAGGCACTGACAAATATTTTTTTCCAGTCCACATTAGTGTTCTTCAATAGGTTGAGAAAGTAGTTCTTAAAGATAGTAAAATTGCTATTATATTCTATAGGGGCTACAAAGGGGAGAAGATAAAAAAAAATGGAAATGAAGAAAAGATAAAATAACACAAACTAAGGTAAAAAAAAAAGGTGAATCAATGTGAGGTTATTTGAGGCGGGAGTAGGTAATACAAGAAGTAAACATGAAATTAAGAGGAGCAAGTATAAATATACATTAGGAAAGCAAAGATATAATGCTTCTTCTATTTAATGCTTTAAAACAGGAAATACAATCAATTGAGGTGAAGGCTGCAATGCCAAATAAACAGAACATGTCCATTCAATATGAAAAGCAATACCAGTAAGATAAAAATTGACATTAGAAATATTTATGATATTCCATGCCAAAGTGGGGAGTGTTCTTGGATCTTCCTGATTTGGATTCTATCAGGGTTTGGAATGCTTTAAAGATGCCGAGTACTCCTTGTCTTTGCCTCTCTTTTTCCCTGGTGTGGAGGTAGGGATCAGACCAGCTCACCTCAGATACAATTCTAGGAGGCTCCTCTCATCTTTCATGTGTTGAGGTACTTACTAGCTTTCTGGTGGGTCAGAGTAGACAGTCCTGAGTTGTCTGATTTGGTCAGTTACCCCCATTAGGGATAAGTAAGAGCCTCCTCAATACTCCAGGATTCCCTGGGGAGGAAGTTTTCCACAGTTTTGTGAATCCTCCTGAAGAAAATCTCTGTGACTAGCCCTCTCTGATCCAACATGGGTTCCACCTTCTGTACTCTGGAGCATGCAGGGTGCAGTGGTGTAAGGTGGAGGTACTAGAGTCAGGATGACATGGCTGTATGGCCCATGTGAGGGTCTCAGGTGGGTGCGGTTTTATCAGGCCACACTGGGAAGTGGTTGTTGTCAGTGGGATACTCCTCTATAAATCCCTTTTTGGGGTGTACTGCCCTTATCTATTCAAGGAGGTTCTCTGCTGGTTGCATGGGGTTCTCCTAGGGGAAATGCCATTTGTGGTTCAGTGCATCTGAATGAGAATTAGCTCTCAACTCTGGGACACCCGGCAGGGCCTCTCCTGCAGGTGCTGGGGCAAGTAAGCTGCATTATTCTCAGGAAAAAAAAAAATCAGACTGAGAAAAAGCATCTAAGAAGGATGTCTAATGAGATAAGAAAAAAAAAAAGGAAGAACATAATGTCTTAATTTACCTTCAAATTCCAAAGATTTGTGTAACTGAATGCGAATTAATTTTAAAACAATAGTATACAGATATTATAGAACTTACTTTACGAATATTGCCCCAGGATGGCCACCATTTCCCTGAATTCTTCCTGGATATAATCAGTCCCTAAGAACACACTCCTCTTCTCCAATAAAAAGCCCAGTCCCTACAGTCTTGGCTGCCCTACTTCAGGCAGTTTGTAGAGTGTTCCTTACCCCATTCCACTATGGACAATATGGACAAGAGGGCACAGACCACCACAGACAGGATGACTGACATCCTAATTCTACATCCTGCTCAGCCCCTTTGAAATACTCTTTGATGCAAATAATATTGACTTTTAACAAGGAGTGTTCTCCACCTCCAGGAGCAAGGACAGCAATGATCCTCATTTCATGAAAGCCTTTGCTCCTAAGGGTTCCTTTCTGGACACAGCCATGAGGCCTGCAAGGAAGGCAGAGAACCCAACACGAACAGAGTGCTTTCCAAGAAATATTGAAGAATGAGACACTTTACAACCTGAAGATAACTGGATCTTTTCAAAAATCCCTGTACCTTTGACATGCTGTGAGTCTGACTTGTAATTCTTCCACAGTATGCAAGACCAGAAGCTAATCTTGGACAATCAGAGACTAATTTATTTTTCCTATAAATTTTCTGACATGGGGTATTGTGTGAGAATTGGTGAAATAATGTATTATACCAGTACAACTAGGGAATCCCAAGGATACTCCCTTGATGAAGAAACTATCCAGGGTCACAATGCCTGTCTCATTTCTCCCCAGAATAAATCCTCTCAGGACAACAAAATCACAAATGTTTGACAATGAAATAGCACTTTCCTTACACTTGGATGGTTGGTTGTTCTCTGGGGCATGTACTCTGTTCCAGGTTTTGAGGCTTGTATTTAAGCCCCATCATGAAAATAACTTTTGCACAGCTTCCACAAAGGTGTCCCTTTGATGCCCCCTGGTTCTGAGGCATGGAAGTCTGTCCTGTGCTGTGATGGTGACGGATGTTGCTCTTTAGTATGGACTCTGACCACTGCTTGAACTCATCATGCAGGGGGTGCCACACTCACTGGATTCAAGCTCTACCTCTAGGACGTCTTCTCCTGGGTTGTGCAAGCTGTGAAGTGTGCCAGAAGAGCTTGGCACCTGCAGACATTTCCATTATTCCTCTCCAGTGTGGATCAACTGAAGTCCACTGAGACATGAGCACTGAAGATAGGCTTGGCCAAAGTCATGCTTTTGTGCCTTACCTGACGTGTACAGGGGGCTGAGTGCATAGTAAAGATTTGCCATCTTGGTACATTTATGAGTTTCTGTTCCAGCAGGAATCCTGATAAGAGGCTTTTACCATAGGGCCTGTTTACATCCAATGAATGTGTGACGTTCCTCTCTATCACAGACTTAACTAAGTTACTAAGCATTAAATGAGGCCTGGATCGGGCTGGGGATGTGGCTCAAGCGGTAGCGCGCTCGCCTGGCATGCGTGCGGCCCGGGTTCGATCCTCAGCACCACA